ATTCCCCGTCTGGCCCAAATTATGGACGGTTTGTTGACTTCCTGTCCAATTGGAATTCAACAACTAACTTCGTTACGTTTCAAATAATTGTGATGAAGTTTTTCGCATAAATTTTACGATTCATGATATTCAGTTAGGAAATCGATGTACGCTTTTTCATGCAATCAATTCCATAAATTAGTCGTGATATTTGCGACGTTTTTTATCAGAACATTAAAAACAATTCGTAAGAATTTTGAGTTCATAAAATTATTTGATGGATTATGCATGCTTTGAAAAAAGTCAATGAACACGCTTGATGAGTGCCCTAAAATTGAGATGAATTTCCGGAACTCATAATCGATGTCATTAGATGATGAATGGTTTGATGTCATTAGATGATGGAATGAATGCTTTCGAGGCTATTCAAAAGTCTTTCGTTGGACAATTGAAGAGCATCATCAGGAAATGTGCATACACCTCATTTTGAGAATATCTATTGCATTCAGCAACTGTCATGTGAATACGGTCTCAGAATTGTCCTATCTCGAGAATTTGAAGAGCTCTCTCTATCCTCCTCAAACTGTAGATGCCTGCTAATGGAAATGCTCTAAGCGATTGCTGGCACTTGTTTCAGCAGCACTCAGAATTTTTCAGTTCATGAATACAGAAGAATCCCACTCCCTTAGTTTGTGGATTAGAGGGAACGTAGCCGCTTTGAAATGATTCGAAATGAACGAGGAAAAAAACAACAGTTCAGTATTCGAAACTGACAGATGAGTATTATTGCTGATAATTATTTCACTGTGGAACGGAATGCATTAGGACGATTCTAAAGATGTCTGTCAGCATTGTTTTTCTGTTCACAGTTCATTTCGGCTGTCAGATCACTCAAAAGACGTCTACAAAAAGTTGAAGGTATGAACCTGGTGTTGCTTCGCTTGTACGTTTGTCTCCTTTGATGAAATCGCGAATACTAAACGCAACCGAATACGGTACGAGTAAAGAACACAGCAGTACTGTAGCGGAGACGGTAATGGTTGCAACTGATGCTGTTGACATTGTGCAAAGCAATCAATCAGCTGTGCTCGGACGAGAGACGAGAGTTCGTTCAGGAAATAGACACACACACAAACACAGAAATAAACAACGCAAATAAACACCAATTGTTCTTTCCAACGTGCAACAACAGCAAGTCTGGCCGACGGCTATACAGTTGGCTCTGAAAATGGACGAATATCAGAAATCATAAACGATGGCGCAGAATGGCGATTGCGATTGAACGACGATACGACCGAGTTGAATGCAATTGAACGTGTGTGTTTGTAGCGAATGTACCCAATCGAGTGTTTGGTGGTTAGGTAAAGATTGATTAAAGCGATTTGCATATATTAGCGTTAATGTGTTGCGATTTTAACGGGTGATCGTAGAGTATTTTGCATTGCAGAGGATAATTGCACGAAAGCATACATATTTAATGGACACACTACTCTCAAACGAAAATGCTGCCGAGCAGTTCAGTTCTAAGTTTTGTTCTGAGAGAATCGAACCGCGATTGTTGAATTCGTGATTGTTATGCTTGGCAGTCGAGAAAAGCAACACAACAAATTACATCATGAATAATAGATAGCAGTTCGTAATGATCCATAGAGCCATATACTCGCAATGAATAAATGTTCATTTCGTTCGTTTAAACACTCAAAACTACCTTCGTTTCAGTTTCGAATTCAGTGTTGATAGCAACAAGAAAACACAAGTTTCTGATTAAACGCAAGTCGAATGGTTCTTCCTTTGTTTGAATTTTGAATTGGATCGATTTGAATTTTTTGCTTCATTGTTACCACAAAATTGGCAGATTCTTTAATAAAATCATCTAACGTTTAATAAATCAATTCAAAATCTTAAAAACGTTTTTTGAATGAATGTCCCAAGAATGAATAACTTCTGTTAACTATAATTTCATCAACGAATTACGTTCAAAACAACTCATTGATCAATGCAACATGTTCAAAACACATACATAATTGATTCGATGTACATATATATNATATATATCAACAAAATTCAGGCGATGTTATTCAGAGCTCCTTGACCATCACAAATTCAACTGATGAATGTAATCTAAAGAAACAATAAACGATCAGTGACAACATGGTCCATATTGGAATAAATGATAATCAGGAATTGGGATATGCGTCAAGAAATTTTTTACTGACCATTTGCAAAAGATTTACAAAGCTCAGAGCTCCTTAACTATCACAAATTCAATCCTTCTCTTCAGACACACTTCGAAGCCACATCAGACTTACTTTAAACTCAAATGTGTTAATGCGAATTCATATCACACTTCGTCACAGCATTATTGCAATAATTTCGCAAGCCTATTTCGTTTAAGCTATTTCAAAGGAAATTATGGGAGGAGTCATGTAAACGGCCGAGAGTTTTAGAGGATGAAAGGAAAAACCTCATAAAAATAATCTTCAAATTTCCGAAAGAGAATTCGAAAGGTGCTTATGAAACTGTCAATAAACACTCTAAAATTCCTTGCTCATAGCTGACACCTTGCGTATCTTGCTTACGCACTCGTAAAGATTCATTAACCTGTCATTATGTGCTCATATCGAGCGAATTGGATATCTGCATACATATTGGCCAGCTGCATCACACAATAATACGTTTGTTTTCGGTTCGATGCAATTTCATACATCAGAATGCTTATTAAAAACTTCCTAATTGTTTCACTCATTAAACCATCATATTTTTGATAAGTGAAGCAATAAGGAAGTCGAGACTCAATAAAGTAAGACAGTTCGAATCTGGATGATTGATAAACGAATTGCAAGTAATTTGCAATATTTCCAGAAGCAATTCGAAACTATATCTTTCCTCAGTTGAAGCATAGCTCGACTTTATCAAATGATCAACAAATCAATCAGATCCATAAAGCAAAATATCCCCTCGAGCAGTCTTACGTAATCACGACTGCTACACTCGAGACTTCCTGCTTGCATAAAAGTCTTTAGATGTCGATTACAATTTAAACAATATCTAACCAGACCGGTAATAGTGGTCTTTACGAACTTTTAGTGGAATCTTAATACTTAACACAACCGCTAAGATCTTAACACAACCACTCGGCGGAGACTCNACGGTCTCCGCGGTAGCTCAGAGTTAGAGCCACAAACCTGTCCTCATCACGTAATTGGTACGTTGCGGATTCGATTTCCATTCGCTGAGGGAAGTTTTGCTCGAAACCGAGTGGTGTACCAATATCATTAATGTTACTCCTTAGTTCAGTTCCGTATCAAATCATTATAATGCTCATTTCTGATCTGTAACAGATTAAAAACATGTTATTATGTTATAATAAAACTCAAGGGACCAAGAATCAGTTAAACAGAAGTTCAGTCACTCAGATTCAATTTGTTTATCCGTTGACAATGCTCGAAGATCGAATGCTCGGATCTTTTAATCAGCATGAATATTAGATGCTACTGCTTTATTATGTATTCATTTGCGACGGTGCTTTTTCCCTCAAGTCGCCGTCATTCTAAATGATTTTTATGCTCACACCTTGAGCACAGGCTGAATTCGGTTCAGATGTTGCTCCTGTCCTCAGTTTTGGAATATTAGCGCATTATAATTTTTGAAAATGTGATGTTTTGAAATGATAGATTTCGTTCAAAATTTGAGCTGCTCATTAATTAAGAGAGTTTAAATCAGTGAAAGTGGTCTATACTTATCGAGCAGTTTTCATGTGTTCAGAGCATCGAAATTCACCAAATACGAACAGAATAACAGATACGAAAAAGAGTAAACGTATTGGTTTCAGAAGAAGTGTACTTCACATCAAGTTGATAAGTAGGAATTTTAAGACCACTAAAACGCTTCTTAAAAAAAACAAGACGAAAAATGTTGCTTTCCTGCTTGTCTCCCAATTCTAGACGAATCAAGGGGGTAGATAAAGGAATGAATGGTTAGGCAGATATATTGATCGATTCGCTCATATTCTCGGATATGACTGAGTGAAATATAGACGAATTTGGATCAGTCGGCGATGGCGATTGGATGTGTCAAATCTAATAAGCATCCATCCGCATCAAGTTGAACTGTGCATGAAACAGCTATAGGCAATAAGCATGTTCCATGCTCACCCACACACACACCAATGACCATACCAAGCTGATTGAATCGTTGACTCTGTTATATTCACATTCGAGCATATTTTAATTCGCTGTACTCGTAAAGAGTTATCTGAGTTCATAAATTGAAAAGTTCTGCGTTGATGAGACAATAACTCTCTTCGGATTCGACTGAGCAATAAGTTTTCATATTATTGAAATCATACTGAATGGAACAACCTTATCAGGGGCAGATGACCGGAAACCAACTGACTGACTGAAGATAACTGACTCGAATAAAGCAGAACGAAATTTCACTTTTAGATGCGTTATACAAAGCTATTCAAGCGATGAAATTGATACAATTTATCGAAAAGTTGTTGGAACGCTTTCTATCCTCTTTCTATCGTAGTCGATTTGCCATTCCTTGATGACAAAGCATTACAGATCAATTTCGTGTGCTCCTTCCACTGATTATCATTCCATTAAATAAATTATCATTCCATTAAATAAATTGTCAATAGGCGTTATATGCGATAGAATTTACGTTGAAGGAGAAGATATTGCAGATAAATCTCTCTGGGTTCTTCTCTGTGATAGCATCGCTCTACCTACGTTATTTGACACGAGGTAATATAGGATATAGGAGTTTGGGAATATAAGAACGGTAGATAAGATTCATCAGAGGGAAACGTGACAGAGTTGGTAATACAATTGAGATGTAATTATAAACATATTGATATTGCATATTTGATCATCACTGAGCGCAAACGATCGTGAATTGATTAGATTTACACGTAACGGGCGTCACAGCAACAGTCGGCAATTATTCATGTTAAATGCCCCCTTGAACAATCGAACACGCTCATGCAAAGCTTTCCTTGACGTGTCATCTCTCAGCATTCACCTCATAACGTGGTTTATGAAAAACATTTCCTAAGATATTCATTAATCCATCAGTGCATTTATTACCAGAAAAGATATAGCGGGTTTTCCATGTTCCAGTGCGCATTGCATGTTATTACTGTTAGACAACATGCGTCATAACTGTCGCATTCATAATCGGATATGAACAGCAAGTATGCATAAGAAATGCGCAAAAAGTATTATAGAACGGAATAGTCATCATCGTATTGAATGTTGTTTTCTAATATGTAACTGATCTTCTTTACAGCATTGAAATAATAGATGGCAGTTTGTGAATATTTTGAAATCATTGTTGAAGTTAATAAGTTGCGACTTCTGAGAATAAGGTTGATCATATCATGAGTAAAGGGAGATGTTGTTGATTTGTTAGGAATTAACGAGATTAGCTGACACTCAAACGCGATCTACTCTAGCAACAAAATATTTTTAGGCGACGTTTGCGTTCGACTGATCTTTGCTATTATGTGTGAGCATATTTGAAAAACTCTCAGTGATATGAGCAAAGGGATAACATAGTTGACTGCGTTTAATTATGCAAAGTATTCACGGCGACTAATTATTTACTCGGTTGTGTTCGGTCGGCCTGCTCGCCTAGCCAGCGGGGTGGCNAACGTTTGATAGCCTGGCCAATCCAGGTAATCCAGGTAAATTTCCATCGTCATCGGTTTAGTAATCATTGTTATTAAAAATGTTGTTGTCATTATTTAGGTGTATCGTTGTCAGCATAGAATTGTGTGGGTTGAGTTCTCGCCGAATAAAAGGAGATAAAAGCCTGACTTTGATTATTGATGAATTATTTTAGCGCAACCTCTGAAATTGATACATCTGAATACATCCATTATGGAGAATACAATTCTATACTATGCCATCGTTGAGTAGATTCGTAATTCCGGAAAACGGATGTAAACTAATACCGCATTTGTCGCATTATACTATCGTGCTTATTCATTTCGCTTATGATGCACGATTGGGTATACGGTAGTCGACGCAGTTCTTCACATTGCTCAGAATAGA